ATCAGATTTAAAAAAACATCCTAAACTGACAGCAGGAACCGAAGAAAATCACTGACTGGTTCTGGGACCCGGGAGATCAGACACAAAGGGCAGAAACCACACATAAACACAGCAATGTACAATAATAATAATTCATAATTAGAGCTGTATAGCAATAAGAATATACAATTAAAGGAGAACACAAAGGTACTTAAACTGCGAAGCAATAGAGAAAGCGGAAGTACTGGGGTGGGGCTTGGTTTTATACAGGGATTGGTTGAGCGTATTCCTGTAAGATTTTTGTTTTTCTATGTTTATATTATCTTTGCTGCTATTGTGGTTAAGTAAAGAAAGTGTTAAGCAATATGGGCCTCCATGTCTTGTAATAAAATGTAAGGCTCTGATTAATATGGTTCCTTATTGGTTTTATTAATTATTTCTTTAGAGTCAATAATGATTGGTATTTTTACGTTTTGAAGCACAGTTAGAAATATTAAATTTTTTTTTGGTTGGTTATGGCTTATTTTACTCTTGTCTTGTGGATCAAAAGCAGATACAAGAAAGATTATAATATTTAACTTTAACTTCAGTCTTCATAAATTATTATATGCAGCTATGAATCTTTGAGTAAACATTGCTCTTTTCTACAGTTACAATGGCGTAATCTCCTGGCGTTTGTATAAATGTTGGCCAGAAATGTATTTTGTATTTTATTTTTTAATTACTCCATACGCATATTGTGTACATTGCCACAGTGTTAATTCTATATTATCAATGTGGCTGAAAAGGGGTTTAGGTGAAAGCATTACTAAAGAGTTTGACATTAAACCAGGAGAAAGTACCCATACACTCAAGGCAACATAACTACAACAGTAAACTGTAGTTATGCTGCTGAAAGTGCCCCTTTAAGGAATAAATTAAGATAAAAATAGACAATTCTCACAATAATCTAATTTATTATTTGTATTACAGGTGTGGAGCTGGTTGCTGCCTCATTCCATTTTGCATTGATTCGTTGAAAGATGTGGATCATTATTGCTCCAGCTGCAATGCCCTTGTTGGTTCATACAAAAGGATTTAAGAACTATTTAAGCTCAATGAGATACATAATCATTTCATCTTCATTCTTGATTAATATTTCAAAGCAAAGACTATGCAATCTATGTTTGGGAAATTGTGATAGATATTATACTTTGAAGGCTAGGTATTCAAGATCAGTGTATATTGTAACATGGCCAGGGTTAAACATTACATTTTTATGATACATTCCAAGAATCAGGCAATTTATCATCTAGCCATAGCCACAAAAAAAGCATTTTTATGTCGTTTGTTTTTTTTGTTTTGTTTTGCTGGAGGTCATATTATACTGTTAGCATGTTTAGTAAGTCTTTATTTGTTACAGGAAGATAAATGTTTTATATTGGTTATATATCTAATTTGAAATATTTTGGTGTCTTTGTTTTTGTTTGCTTTATTATCAACCAATTATTCCATGATTTCTCCACATTAAGTATCTGTGAAAATCACTGAATCGTGATGCTGGAAAAAAAGGGTTTTGTTGTGCTTGACTATATACCCTAATCGAATAGCCGCTAAATGTTGATGATACATTGTTAGCTTCGTACTTCTGGCCTCTCCATCCATGCATCATGTTTTTTGTTTTACTATTTCCCCATTTTGTTTTTGTGTTTTTAAATTGTCAAAGTGCATTGTAAATACAAAATATCATAAAATATATTTCTAGTTAACTATAGCACATATTCTGAAGTTGTTTCTAGTTTTTGTCTCCCTTTAGAATCAGAAAAATAGCAGATTTAGCATATTTCAATGATTCACATAAATTACAGCTTTCTATTGATCTTCACATCATTTTTGTAAATATGAGTTATATTTGCACTACTTTTTTACTTTTCAAAAGCCAGCATTTTAGTTACGAAAAAGTTTAATGTTTGTTTATTTTCATAACGTAACATTGTTAAACATTTCCAATTTAAAAATGTCAATGCCTAAAAGAGAAATCTTTAGTTTTCATTCGTCTGCTGCCTTGTAAGTGTAAGATTTGTGAAGTGTAAGGTTTTTTTGTTTTTGGTTTTTTTTTTATGGCTATATTCATCTTTGTTTACCAAGGATACAAGAAATATTGCATAATTTATTATCTTGTTTCAAAAAAGAACACTTAATTAGACATGTGTACAACTTTATTAATTATTGCTCCTGAACAGAAGTTTGCAATCTAGGCACATGAGGCTGCCACAACAAAATGGAAACACTGGTGAGATCAGAGAATCTCCCCTGTGGGCCAGGTGCCTTCCTCTGCTACCACACGGGAGGTTTTCAACTGCATCTCTGGTGGGTGCAGACCAATTGTATATCTCTCCAATGCAATGTGGCATTTGTGACTGATGTGAAGAGCCAACACGGAGGGAGATGTATAACTAGTCTTCCACCAGTGGAGATCACGCTACAATCTGGTGTCATCAAGGCTCCATGTCCCTCTTCGTGGTCAAAGGAAAGCAAGAGGGAGGCTACACAAACAAACTGCATAATAACTTTTTATATTAAATTTTAAAACAAATTGATTAAACAGTGCACAATAGAGCCCCCCCAAAAACACTGCAAACATTTAACACACACAATTTACACATTGCCATGAACAACCACACAAAGCAGCCATGCATACATAACACAAGCTAAAGTCACATTCCAATGTTAACATAAAGCCTGCACTGTAAGGGACTAAAAGCATATTACTACCTTACAGTTACCTACCTTAGCTCTAGAAGCTATACGTTGTTATTATGAAGTAATATGCCACGTTTTACAGAATCACAAGTGAATAGTTTGCCCACAAATATTTATTAATCTCTTGTTTAATAACTAACTTCTACCAAAGCAAATTCAAAGTTTTATACTTTGAGGTACATTTCTCAATAATAACCAAAAGTTGTCTATGGTAGGCACTTTTTGTGGACCACTCAATAGATCATTGATGCACAAAGCTTTGAACTTTATTTTGCTGTTTTTACAGTTGTTACATTTTTATCATTACAAGTGAATGGCTCAGAGAAAACATTTTGTTTGCACAATAAAGCCAACTACACTTGCTTGTTTTACTGGTATTCCTAAACCTTTACGCAATACCTTTCTATATTGAATCACCTTTCAGACTTAATGTTCTTTCATTCATATGACTGCTAAAATGTGTGTTTTGTCCTATATTGGAAAGATGATCTAAAATATACAATTTGAGGTGTTTTAACATCCTACAGGGTTGTTTACTAACTTGGTTGTTTAATAAAGTAAGAATTCCAACTAAATTACAAATTTATGGGCAGAATAGTGGGATTAAAAAAAAAAATCCCTGGCCTAAAGTTTTAAATTGTCAAAGTGCATTGTAAATACAAAATATCATAAAATATATTTCTAGTTAACCATAGCACATATTCTGAAATTGTTTCTAGTTTTTGTCTCCCTTTAGAATCAGAAAAATAGCAGATTTAGCATATTTCAATGATTCACATAAATTACAGCTTTCTATTGATCTTCACATCATTTTTGTAAATATTGTTTTCCTATATTTACAGTTCGGCTGTTCTGTTCAAAACGTGTTCATTCACTGAAGTGTTAATTAAAAGTTCTATATTATAACATCAGTGCCCTTTATAAACTCATCTTCTCAATATGCTGGAAATCTTTGATATAAGGTGTTGCTTAATTAAGAGTGTATTTCTTTAATAACATTATAAAACTATTAGAGAATGTGAAACACAAGATAAGCTTGGGAATGTTAACAAATATACTTTAAAAATAGAGGAATTGAAGTAACACATAAAAAAAAAAAAAGGATTCTAGGCACTGTGTGTGTCTTTCATGCCTAAAATGTTTGCATTAATAGAATTGCAGCTGTGCTGGTATTTGTGAAAAATAGGTTATTTAAAGGGATAATATAAGTACCAAAACAACTTTAGCTTAATTAAGCAGGTTATTTATTTTTTTTTGGTGCATAGATGATGCCTCTGTAGTCTCACTACTTAATTCTCATCCATTTTAGGAGTTAAACCACTTTTGTTTCAGTTTATGCAGCCCTAGCAATACCTCCCCTGGCTATAATGCACACATTAAAAAATAATTGTTTCATTTTTAATCTGATCTTAAACTTTTTATCTCGTTCAAATTGTCAAACTTAAATCACACACGAAACTCGTGCATGCTTTTACAGACTATTAGTAGAGATGGGGATTAGAAATTATAATTTAAACAGACTGCAATAAAGGAAGTTTAAACATTAGATCTCTCTTTACATAAAGTGTTGCGAAAGGCTGTGTAAGTCACATGCAGGGGAGATGTTACTAGGGCTGGATAACTAAGTTCCTCTTTCACATTTTTTTTTTTTTTTAAACTTTTGATTAACTTTATTTTGAGAAGTAATATAATTGTGATTAATTTGTTCTCCAATACTGTTATTTTTTAATTTATTTAATGCTTTGTCTACTAAATACAAGTTGTATGTCTGGTTGACAATTTATATAATGTCCTTAATACTTTGGGTTGTTGAAGGTATCAAAAGAATTATGGAGAGTCTTTGTATAACCCTTACTATCACATTTCGTAACAAATGCTCAACTCAAAACAAAGTTAATTAATGACCACATTTTTAGGGGACCATTTGATAAATTGGAAAGAAACCCTTATAGGGCTTTAAGAAACAAAACAGGGAGTACAGGTTGCAACAAGATACTAATAGCTTCTAGATATATAAATGAGAAGCATCCTGTTGGAGGGATACCCTTACCTTCTGGAGTGCTGCAGCCCATATGTTCACTTGGACAGTTGTTTAGCGATGTTCCTTTCTCTCTCTCTCTATTTTAATATCTTCTTATTCACCTTATAGGGCCTTGCCTGTCCGTTTTATGCAAGACCACCATTGTCCAAGTTTTGGTAGGGGTTGTTGCACATAAAAGTTTGCCAATATAAACAGTCTTGGTTAATATGTTCATGCATAAAAGGGGTAGGCAACCTTTGGGACTCCAGATGATTTGGAATACATCTTTCATAATGTTAAAGCCACAATGCTGGCAAAGCATCAGGTGAGATGCAGTCAATAACAAATGGGAAAGGTTGCTTACACCTGTACCTAGTGCCCAGAGAATTTCCATCTGGCAGCCAGTTTATCTACAAACATAGTGACTTCGAGAAGCCAGAGTGGTGGATACAAAGTAGCCTTTCAGAGTGGTAGGTTACACACGACTCAAATTTCTTACCAGTCAAGCAAATCCTGATTTGCATTGCTAATCCCAACAATACATTTTTCTTTTTCTCTTTTGTCTTCATGGCGTCCTCTCTTTGCAAATAGCATAATTAAAATAGCGATCTAAGACTGACTATGTCATATTTTTCAGCACATAACTTTCTTATATATTTTATAGTTTGCTACTCTTAAGCTTGAATTATTTACTTTATAATGCAGTATTTATCATTATTGTTAAACTTTATTAATCTTGATAATCACTAGTTTTAAAAATGTATATTGTTTCAAAATATTGTTTTCTATATATATATATATATATATATATATATATAATTTTTTTTTTTTTTTTTTTTTTGTAATGTACGTGTAGATCACCGTTTGGATATTTTCATTTTGTTTTCTGGGGAAAAAGTCACACATTTTGAAAGATGTCTAACACCAGAAAACTTTCTAAGGACCAAAAAAAAGAAAATGTTTGCTAGATACATGTTTAAAATGTTTATATTTGTATAAACGTAAAAAATTTTTATTACTGTAGTTCTATAATGTATTTGTAATATATCACAATAAATACTGTAATTTAATGTGTATATTTGTACAGAACTCATTTGTAAAAAATACTAAACACAAATGAATTACATGTTTAAAAATGCATTCTTCAAGAATATGTGTACTATATGGCCCTTCCCTGTTGTAATCATATCAATTTTAATTTTACACATTCAAAATACTTTTGGTGGCCATGCTCCTCTAGGCTGATGAAATACAACATAGCATTTTTACTGAACATCATCTCAGACTTTCTGCAGGTAAATGCATGTTGAGCTATTAAAACAGTGGTAGGACACAGATGCACATGCATTTATGATGCTGATGAAGTGAGTACATTACTCGTAATTTTATAACATGACAGGAGGCTTCTTATTTTGCATTAACTTTCTTTACTAACTCCATAGCAGCAAAGAAAAAAACAGTTGAAATAAAGAATCAGAGTACCAACAGAGTCTATATAAGTAGGAGTACGTCCATATCACTTCCTCTTTCTTTGCTGCTCCATCACAAGTCAGGTCAGAGTATTGCTTCTTTAATTACATTGACCGTATATATTTGCACTGCTATTTGTATGTGTAAGGTTTCTGGGGGTGGTAGGGGGCTCCTATAGTCCCCTGTAGGGGAATGTTTTAATTTGAGACACTCTCTCCTCCTCTCTCCACGGGCATTCTCATCAGTGAGACAGCCTGTGGGTTTCTTCCCCCTCCCCCACCCCTTCCCCTTTCACTAAGGGTGCTTCCCGCGCTGTTCACACTGCTTCCGTGTGAACAGACTGGGCAATTCATCTGTTCCTTCTTTCATGCCTATTGACACGAACGGGCCGTTCATCTCCCCATTCGTGCCTTTTCCTGCATGAATGGTAAATCAGGTCTTGGCGAATGACCTGTGATTCGTGGAACTCCGTTTGCAGAGTTCCCCCTCACTGCTACAACCTTCCCGCGCTGTTCACACTAAATTCAGTGCAAACACAAAGGGCATTGTCTCCTTCAGTTCGTCATTTCCGCACGAACGGTGCGTTCACTGATATCCCTGTTCGTTCCTATTCTGCATGAACGGTCGGAACTTGGTGAACATCCGTACGTTCGACGAACAAACTGTTGAACGCAGTCTAACACCTTCTGTGTCCCGCGAACGCCTTTTGCGGGCTTTTGATGTGACATTTAGCCACAGACCTCGCAAGATCCGCAGCAGCCATCTTGTTGGGGTGTGTTGGCGTGGATCTTCACTCTCATCAATAAGAGGCTCCTGATTCTGTGTCTGATAACTGCTTGATTTTTTTTTTTCCCCCAGCTTTTCCACAGGGACCTGTTCAGGTTGGTGTGTTAACTCCTGGGGAGTGGAACTGCCAGTCAGGTCTAACCTACTATTCTGGCAAGGGGTGAGCCCCTATTTGGGTAATTCCCAGAGTGCTGCCTACCAGTATCTGCTGTAGCAATTCAGTTTTTCCTGTGTGAGCCCCAGTGATTCCAAGGGTCTGCTTTACCACGCCATTGGGCATTATATAATATACAGCCTTTTGACAAAGTCCCTCCCATACGGTCCCTATATCTCTCCTACCTGTGCCTGTTACCTGCCCAATAGAATGGAGGATACGCAGAACACTATTAACCTGCAGGCCATGATTAACGCGGCGGTAGCCGCATCCCTCAAGAAGGTCATGGCAAAGGTGCTTTCATCGGCCTCTGATACCCTCAAGCCGGCTGGTAAAAATAATCGCACCAGAGAGGACTCAGAAGAATCTGACGATTCAGCCAGGGAGAGACTGCGCCCGGCAAAACGCCACTGGAAGGGTGAAGAGTCTCAGTAGGCCGCTAGCAAGGGCAAACAAAATAAACGACTCATACCCGCGGCCCCAACGTTTCCTAATGAAGTCTCCTCCGACGAGGACAGGGATATGCCCCACTCCCTCTCTATCCTGGACGAGTGGCAGGCAGAGGTCTTGGACTCAGACGACGGCGATTGGGGTTCCAAAGTCTGTCAGGGAGACCTTTCTGGGTGAGCCCCAGAGTAAAGGAGATGCAGAGTCTTCCACTACGGCCACTACTCAAGACCAGGTCGTCTTTCTGGATGCCATGGGGCAACAGATGTTCGACACCAGAAACATATGCCACCCCCGCTTCGGGAATGGGCTCCACCAGAACATCTTCTAAAATTTATGCACTTCTGAATCCGCAAACTTTGGAGAAACATGTCTGCAAAAGGATGCGGGTGGAGTGCCCTAGACCATCCCTGCCAGATAAGATGGCGTTTACGCCTGAGTTTGACAAATTCATGCAGGCCTTCATGGAACGAGGCGGCAGCGACCCATGCAGAGGTGTCAAACATAGCTTCAAAGGGGCGCAAGATAAGCTCCTGGACGCAATGGGGCCACTGGCCTGGGTGATGTACCTAGCGGATGACGGTTACGCCAGAGCAGACTACTTCAACGCGGATATGGTGCGTGAATGGGCGCATGACATCAGGGAGTGGACCTAAAAGGGTTTCTGCTTCTTGGGTAATACTAATGCTGCTCTCTCGACAGAGCGGCGCAGTGCAGCACTCTTCCGCATCGACCCCAAACTGGCTGACCTCGGGGTGAAAGAATTGGGCACGCAGGCACAGGGCAAACTTTTTGGAGAGGTTACATAGCTGAAAAGAGACTTGCGTCCATTAAGTTCAGCCTTCCTCACATTTGTTTTTTGCTGTTGATTCAAAAGAACGCAAAAAAACCCAGTTTGAAGCACAATTTTGCAACAAGCTAGGAAAAAAATTCCTTCTTGACCCCAGAATGGCAGTCAGATTTATCCTTGGATCAAGCAGTTATTACCCTACATTGAAAGATTATATGCTTGAATATTCTGTTTTTGCAAGTATGCATCTAGTAGCTGTTTGAACATCTGTATGGACTCTGATAAAACCACTTCTTCAGGCAGAGAATTCCACATCCTGATTGTTCTTACAGTAAAAAAACCTTTCCTTTGCCTTAGACGAAATCTTCTTTCTTACCGGAAGTAACGTTCCGGTCTTGCGTCGCTTCCGGTTTCCTGGCGGCTCTGTAGTGCATTGATAGGATCATATGTCCATATTTAAGGGCATAATAGCCCATAATAATGAACAGACCTCAAATATATGGGAATATAATAACAAACAGTATAGAATTCAAACATACATAGAGCGCTCTTAAGATAATAAAAACATAAATATGTACAGAAATAGACCCAAAATAAATGTGTTTAATAGAAAAGAGGGGTGAAATATTAGCAGATCTGAATGGGTAAAATACATAGTATAGCAAGCTGTATTCAATATAAACTCATTCCTAAAAATTTAAATATGTAGAAAATAATCAAAAGGAGATTAATAGGAGCCAGGGAATTTATTCCTAAAGTAGATAAAATGAAGTCAATATAATTTATTTAAATTTTTTTTAAATGTATCAATTATATTCATAGAAAGTGACAAAAGTCAAAATCATTAAGACCATAGGGGAGGAGAGAATTCAAAGTGAAGATCCATCTCATCTCTGCTTTCCCCATAGTGGTGATGAGATCCTCCCCTCTCCAATTAGTGACAATTTGTTGTATCCTTTGTTGTATCGCCGTACCACAAGTCTGTAGATAAAAACTGTCCTCAAACCAAAAATAGTTATGTAAAATCCATTCTAAAGCTTCCAAAATAAAATCAATCTGTGGTTGAGGAAAAACTTTAAAAAATTCTAAAAATATCTAGTTGATAGGCACCATTTTTCATGAGATTTATTGTGTACAGGGAACTTACGTCTGAGATGACTAGGAAGAATTCTTTCTCCCAAACTAGGTCTTTCAAAGTACTTAAAAGTTGTAAACTATCTTTCAGGTGGCTTGGGCATCTATGGACCATGGGTTGCAAGCATTTATCTACATATTTAATTCTATCCTCAGAATATTGTTAAGTCAGGCATTTGAAGAAGGTATAATTTCTAAAAATAACATGGAATTTTTATTTAATAATTTCCCTATAATTCCCATTTTTTATTTTTTGCCCAAGCTACATAAAAACCCTATAACACCTCCGGGAAGGCCAATCATTAGTGGCATTGACTCGGTATCTGCACATTTATCAGAATTTGTAGACCATAACCTACAAAAATATGCACAAGAGGCACCTTCTTATTTGAAAGATACCTCACATATTCTAAGGATAATAGAGGATATAAATTGGAGAGATGATTTTATTTGGGTAACTATAGACGTTTCGTCTCTCTATACAATTATTAAACATCATAAAGGTTTAATTGCAGTGGAACGAGTCATGGAGAAGGATGAAAGTGTTCCATCAAACTTTCGAAATTTTATACTTAAAAGCATCCACTATATTTTGAAACATAATTACTTTTTCTTTGATGACTCATTCTATCTCCAAATCACTGGTACACCAATGGGGACCAGGTTCACCCCCAGCTATGCCAACATATATATGCGGGATTGGGAGTCCAACCACATATGGAGGGGGCATGGCTGGGTAGCGAACCTGGTCCTATGGAAACGTTTTATTGATGACGTTATAATGATTTGGCAGGGATCACATAAAGAACTGCAACTATTTTTGGATTATATTGGTTGCAATGACTATGGCTTAAAATTCACCTATGGATGTTTGTTTCTTTGTTGAAAATCAGACTATACAATCTAAATGTCATTTTAAAAAAAACTGATGGCAACAGTTATATACATAGAAAGAGTTGCCACCATGATAAATGGTTGGAGACCATCCCAAGAAGTCAGCTAACAAGAATACGACGAAACTGCTCAAGAGATATAGATTACCATGAACAGGCTAAACATTTGAAAAATACAGGAGGGGTATAAAGGGTGGAGGAGGGAAGGGTTTTTATATTGTTCATTTGTATGCTGTCATTTCTGGTCACTGAAGTCCCTGAGGAAGTCCTACATACGGACGAAACGCGTAGGACCCCTGGTGGTGACAGTGAGAATACATCCATTGTTTTATATTTAGATGTAAGTGATTCAATTATTTTTTCTACATTTTTAA